ACATTTACAAGCACTATCTTGTCATGATCAACATTACATATATAAACTCAGAGCTCATGTGTAGGTTCGCTCGTCATCTGGGATAGTAAATAAAATGTCTTTATTTGTGCTGCAGACATCATGACCCCTGGTTCCTATCACCACTGCTGTAAAGGAAAACCGGAGTCTGTAGTTTTCTCTACAATGAACCATTTAACACCAAACCACTCTGACTTTGTTTACATTTTAGCAATTGAATTGGATAGAGATTTTGAAAGATTGGTGCGTCTGTTTCTAATAGGGCTGACTTTGTTAGTTTTGAGATCACAGTTTGATGGTAAAAGGTGGAATTTTAATGATCTCCTGCAATATTCAATGTTGTCTTAAGTTTTAAGTGGGGAAATTTAATCTAGTTACACAGATGGTGAACTGGCAGACTGGCACGTTACATTCAGCATTCAAGCCTCAGGCCTGAAAAAGTGGTTGTACTAGTTATATACTTTAGAGAAAGACCTGGAGCTTAATTCAGAGACAGTAATCACATTGAAATGGCAATATTGGTCAGAAAACAACACGATTATAAATTATACCCTTTGTGTTGAAAAGAGAATGTTAGCATTTTTATGCAGCCATGACTGGTTGTTTAACAAATTCAGTGGTATATATTCATACTGCAAAATGTGGGTTAATGTTTATGCTAAAATATTGTGATGATGGCAGTGAATGCTGAAGACATGTGTCTGTGTGTTGATTAGGAGAAGTAGCACGGTGCTCAGGGAAAACAGGCTACCTTTGCATAAGGAAATGGAAACTGAAAGCGACGACCCTGCCACCAAACAGGGCGCTACAGTTATATGTGAGTAAATCATCTTTAACTACGTAACTACTTTAACAAACCTCAATTAAATACGTTATTTAGTCTATATGTAATTGGTTTGCTACCTAGCTATCTAGGTATGTCCAGAGGTGTGACACAGGCCACAGGATAGTTTTCAGACTTGGCTAATATCAATAATGCCAAGTTTCTTTTTAGCGTGTGTAGTGGTACAATATGGCAAGTTGCAAATTATTGCTATGGGATGGTAAATAGTAACTATTAGGCAATTATTTAAAGGGGAATTTCTCTAATTTAACAAAATAAATGGCATAAATGTAAAGAAAACAGTTTAGTAGAGTTAGATGTGAAGGGCTCTGTTCTAAGGAAAACTACCAGGTCACAATTGTTCTCAATTCTTAAGTGTTTAATGGCTCAAAAAGATAGTTATGACATTAAATTATTCCACATATGCTAGCTGATGCCTGAGACATTGTGTTCTGATAGTTGGGAGATAAGATTTTAGCCCCCAATTTTTTTTAATCCATTCATGGTGTAGAGATACACACACGGTGTGAGACAAAAGCACAAAAGACATGTGTAGGTTCACTGGTCATTTTGGATAGTAAATACAATGACTATACTTTGCGCTGTAAACATTGCAACCCCTGGATCCTAATTGCCACCTTCGTAAATCTAAGTTAGCAAATTTACCTAAAACCAACCCACTCTGAATGACTTTTACATTTCAACTATTGAATTATGCAGAATGCCCCTTTAAATCAACATAGAAACTGTACACTTCACTACTGGTTTCCACGATACGTAGCACAGCCCATCATCTAAAACATTTAACAACATTTTTGCTCTGCCTAATATATTGTACATTCTTCAGAATCTGGCTAGACAAAAATGCTAAGTGCTCATTACTGCATGACAGTTAGTTTCAAAGGGCCTCTGCATTTAACGGTGTGAAACGATGGCATGCACTGGGTTGATGCATCAGGACTGTTGTCACACATTTACAGACAACAGGATATGTTGGGGGAGAGCTATTTTGTGCAAGGCTCCCTTTCTTTGGTCCACATTGAAATCATTTACAAACTAAAAGCACAGCGTAATACTTTGAGAATACTACACTGTATTGCTCAAAGACTAGTCTTTGACTCGTCTTCCTTAATTGACCATTTGAAAATTTCTGATTGACATGCCTCTCTGCCAGTCATTGCCTCCAAATGTTCCTCTAAATGCCAAGCAAAGAGAAAACTTGGACAAAACTCCTCAAAACAATCTTGCAGTGAAAACAAAATATCGAAAAATGAATCAGAATTATTAGAATTATTAGGTAGAAAGAGCATATATTGTCTGACACATGCTGTCCTGATCATCTGGAGAGTGGTGCTTTTTCATTTCTGAAGCTGGAAAACTTTTGGATTAATCTCTGTTATTCTGGTCCACACTTACTGCTCAATGCCAAAACTTTTAACAGGCGTACTTATGGTGGCTCTAAGCTAAGCTGAACTGTATCCGAGTACATGTGTTTGATAAAAAATCATTTTAATATGATGTGTAACAATTCATAACTACACAGACAAATGTTGAGATAGTTAACTAACTAATTAGCCTTACTTAGTTACTAACCGATATCTTCAAAAATAAGTCAGATTAAACTGTGTAGCACTAACATCTGTGATTAAAAATGTGTGTAAAGATGGAAGTTAATGTACTTGTATATGAACTGTTCTTTGTATTGTTTCATTAATGTTTGCTGAAAGACCTTGTGTAAAAGACGATGGGCCAAACCTTGCATTAACATGTGTTTTGTGTCTGGACTGCATCTGGATTACCTTGGGTGGGTTCCATTTTCACTTATCGTTAAAATGTGTCCCCTGTATGACCAGAAGATTTTACTTTATTGCATAAAAAGCACATAAACACAGACATCACTTTCATTCTACTTTTGTTAAGTTTTTCCCCATTACGATATGAGTTTGGCGCATATCGTATATTCATCAGCTCAGAGTGCAGTGCTGCTGTGCTCATTGCTGACAGTGCAGTAAAAAAATTCCAGATGAAAGTCCAGAAAATAAATTTGAAATCACATTACAGCCATAACTTTGTACATTGTCCACAGTTCAGTCATTAGTGTTTTGCTTTGAGATTGCTCAAAAAAGTTCTTAATAAGAATCTTTAATGACAGCCGTGCAGCTTTTTCTGCTGGACTTAACTTGTATTCAAGCTACACATCTTGTACGACTTCGCTGATTCAATACCCTGCCAGTGTTATCATAGTATTGACAATGGTATTAGTTTTATTTTTATTTAGTTTTTCATTTTGTTTTTGATTTCAGTTTGTTTTCAGTTAGACTTAAGGCTGCAATAACACAGTTTTAGTTTTATTTGTATTTTCTGAGAGTAATAGTTCAGTTTTTGTTAAGTTTAAGTTTTATAGTATATAGTGTAGTTGTTTGTATTATGATGAATGTTGTGATAGAAAATTATTTGATAAAGATTGAATAAAATTAACACACAGCTGACTGAGCTCAGGTTAGCTCCAGCTTTCCTGAAAGATCCACTTCTAAACTCTCATTCACGCACTGAAAAAACAAGAAGTAAAGTTTTGTTTTTCTGTAATTCTGTTTTGTTTTAGTTTTGCAGTGGACCTGTTTATTACAGTAAACGAGCACATTTTTTCACTGCTAGTTTTTATTTTAGTAGTAGTTTCAGTAAACTGAAACTTACTACTAAAAATAAAATAATTAATAATGAATAACTTGGTTATTTTAAGTATTTTTAAATATTAAGTATTTGTTTGTTAAGCTTTAAGTATTCTTTTTTAAGCTATAAAAATAAATACATGACAAATTTATGCTAGGCACTTACATTACCCCACCTCAGAGTGTATCAAACTGCATCATTTTTCACATGACAGTTGAAACTAAAGCCCTATTTGAGCTGTATTAGTTTTACCAGAGGAGGTCAGGTAATGTAATTTGTGCGTTGTTTGATTGGCTGATTAGGCACAAAGAATCTGTGTAATTTCCCTAAATCACCCCAAATAGCTTGGATCGAAATATCATTGTGTGGACATTTACCTCAGCTTTACCTCAGTGCCACACTTCCAAAAAATAACATGTTGTTAGGCTAAATGGCAAACATGGTGCCAGAAAATCATCAAGTTTGGATCTTAGCAAAAAAACAGGTATATATTCCAAACTACACATGCCTTTATTGAATACCTGATTAACTCCAAACACCAAAATATTTAATGACATTCTCAAATGGATGTACATTTCTGTTTATTTTGTGTTAGGAGGTCAGCTGTATGGGAATACATTTTTAAAGCAATCCTCCCAACCTTGATGTTGTTGCTGACTGTGTGATCAATGTACAGACACATTGACTAAATCCTAAAAAGGATCAATCTTTAGCTAAACAAATTAAAAGTCACAACTTTTGCGCACATCAGGTTCAAAGAACCTGTCTCACTGCCTACAGCCTGTCAAGACTTCTAAGATCTATGAGTGCGAGTTCTAAGCACTGAAACCACTGCTTGTTTTGTATGTATTGATGAGGAAAGCAAAGGGATTAGTCCCGCAAAATTCCTGTTCATTCCCGTTGGCAGAGAATAGCTAGCTAGGCTAATTGTATGAGGTCAATACATACAAACCACATTTTCGGAGAATAAACAAACAAGTAGTTTATGTCTAATGCCAAGTCCATTATTTACGAGTTGACTATTTACGAGTTTAGTGGAGTATCATTTAGGACAATGTCTGGGTCATTTCCACTCTGTAAAATCCTGATTTCCTTCATTCCTGATTGAAATGCATGGTCTTCTTCACATTCACAAGCACACACTCAAGAAGGGATGCTTCTCATGTCAAGGGTGTGTGAAAATTCAAGTTTGCCTCCATGAGCTGGAAACAAGTAAAATGCAAATGCGCATCAATAAGGCTTCGCTTAGCACCTAAACTCCAGTGGTAATTTACCAGGCTAACTTCCCATTTTTCTCTCAAGGCTTACAGAAAAAATTATTTCTTTGAATTATTTGAAACTCTTCCGCATTTAAAACACTAAAAAATCACCATCATTTGTTCTCTCTCCTGTAAACTTTGCTCAGTGTTTTGGCTTCTATTGTTTGTTGTGTAAATTCAGTTCCAATTAGGATCTGTCTTTCTACTAGACAGTGAGCGTCTTCTCTCACCTTTGGCTGCAGTCTCTCTTCTTCACAGAGGAACTCTGCGTTTCCTCCCGTCACCTTGGCAATCCCCTGAAGGAGCCTTCTGCAGGCCCGTGGCCCGAGACCCAGCCCAAAACACCTAAATACATATAAACACATACACATGTCTCCTGATAAGTCACTTAACTCACCAAGCATGTTGATATGTATAAGAATATTTGCTCTGTCCTAGTATTATAGCTGAGGCCTGGTGCAAAATTTGTGTCACGCCATAAATACACACATTATGTAGCTATATTATGTCACGCTTACTGACTTGGTTACTGTACCTTATTTAGTCATTCTAGAACTTGTTATGCTGTATGACACTGTATCAGAGTTTTAAGGTGAGCTGCAGCAACAACTCAATAGTTTAATGTTTATTAGAGGCTGTTTATACCCTGCATTAACATGTGCTTCATGTTTAGATTGTATCTGGATAAACTTTGGCCAGTTTCCACATCCCTAGTGTGACAAGATACGATCCGATTTCAATTTTCCACCATAAAAACCACATCAACACATACGTCGTTTCCATTTTACCTTTGTTTACTTTGTCCCCTTTTTACAGTAGGAGTCCACATGTTTGGCTTGGATGCTTTCCTTGGGGTCAGAGTGCAAGAAGGCTCTTCGTTTGGGGAAAATTCCAGCGTCATGTACCCTTCACCTTTCCTTGTTTATCCCCTAACCTGCTAGTCATCGCTAGGCAGACGCATTCCCACTTGCGTATTTGTATATGCATAATGCAGACACATTCCATTTACACTTGCGTTAAATGTGGCCAATTCCCACCACATGTGGTGTATTCCCGCATACTGGATATGCACAATGAAATGGTTTTTACAGTGTAGGGAATAAGCTTTCACTACTATCTTGCTAGATTAGTTTTCTTACAGAGCAACAAAGCTAAAGAAGCAAACCTCTGACACCAAACATGTCTTGGCTGATTGACTACACTTGAGTTAAGGGGAAAACTATGCAAATTTGAAACTGGTACTTTCAGGAGATGTTGCCTTTAACTCCTCCATATCGTCGAAGTGTGTATGAGACCTTGGACGGCTTCCTCCCTCCATATTCAAAAGTAAAATCCCTCTGAACTGAGAGAGAGTGTTTAGTATTCCTCTAGGAACAATAAGGACCATTTCACTAATTGAACGTCTGAGGAAAGCGGTGCCAGAGAGCATGCACACTGCTTGAAATTCATCTCAGGTCTGTCTGGCTCTTGAATGTTCTGAGTGCATATCAATAACGGGAGTGTGTGTGTGGCGGGGCGAGGGCGGGGTGTGTTATGAGAATGAGCAGAGCGTCTGGATTGAAGCTTGCTTTCCTGAAAAATGTCATGCAAAAGATCAGCGCCACTGTAAAGCGGCACACCGAATGCCATTTAGAATTCTTGCAGAGTTAAAATGACAACTGAATTGGTTTTAGGGAAAATAGCTAATAAAAGGGTGGGCTTTGAGTTCAGAGGTCCCAGAATATATTTTCATTGAGTGCTTGATGGTGGTGTTGTGGAGATCTTAAGGAACTGTAGTCATTTCAGCCCTCTTCTGTACCTTTACACGTAGTTTTGATACTACTGCTGATGAATTGATTTACAGTTTGGGTTCTTAGAGTGACATTTACCTGCATAACTGCATAAATATAGGGGTCCTTCCATGCCATCTTACTTGGAGCCTGTCCACTCACAACATGGAAAACTTCAATTTCATTTAAGCAACTTAAAAAAATTTCAAAGCTGTGCTCAAGTTACTTTTTTAGTTATGAATTTTCAAAAAAATTGCCTCATCATTTTAAATCATCTGAAATATTGAGTTTACATGTAATATTTCATCTCTGAATTGTAAACTCATTGTAAAACATTTTACCGGCCCTTTTGGCCCTATATTTTCTCAAAATTGACTAATCCCTTCATACTTTTTGTGCTGTGTAAGAACATTTATATCTGATCAACATACAAAAGCTGAGTGAAAATTATGTACATACATATAGAAATATACACAAAAAATGACAGGTATGCTGTGACTCATAATGACTCGATTAAACATGATTACTCAGTGAAAGACAGATTGAAATTCGCCTTTTGAATGAATCTACAATGATCAGTTGGCAATCTGCAAGATGATAATGCATATTTTAAATTCTCATTCTCATAATTCTCTTACAGAAAGAAACAGCCTGCATGCTGATCTATATGCTTTTTCACTACTGAAAATGTGAAGCTGTTTTATCTGGCCCTTTGTTAAAATCTCAGAGAATTTGATCAAATGTCAAAATGCTCAGTAGTTTAATTACTAACATATTTCACAGTGGTAGCTTTGTTGTCAGTACAGAGCATTAATATAGAGCCTTCATATAGAATTAAATAGAACGTTGCCGACATAAAGTAAGTTATTCACATGGGACCTCATTTGTAACACATTCATATATTTACAGATTTTACCGTAAAATGATTTTATATGAAAACTTGATGCACAAGTGTGTGTAGAAGAATGCAAGTTTTAAACTATATATACAAACACAAGAGGGTATTCCACAAAGCGAGCTAACTCTGCTGGAGACAGGTCCATTACAGGAGACCCCAACCCCAACAGAGGAAGTAACAGCAGCCTTCCTTTTGGTTGATTGTAAGACCTAATATTCATTTGGTTACAAGTATGAGTACATGAGTACTGAGTAACCTACTTAGAATTAGGTGGTTGTTAGTGTAAATCAACTCAATGTAATTATCGGTTAAATCATTCAGATCTAGCTGATTTTAAATGACTTGCATTAGCTAGCTATGCTACATTATTTACCTTGGATAGAGTAGCACTGCAGTCAGGAAAGCGTTTCTGTACAGCTGTAAATAATGTTTCATAGATTTGATCCCTGCTCCTCATCTGTCTCTTTCAACAAGTCTCTGTAGCACAGTGAGCAGAATCACCCCCGAGGCCAGTTTGAGGAGCTCACGTTTTAAGTTTTACCTCTTGTTTTGTTTGGCTGGTTGAGCTGTAGTTGAATGTCCACTAAAGCCAAATGTACATTGTGCGATTTTAGAAACTCACGCTGTACGTTTGAATAGTCCATCATGTACGGACAAAAACTATGATTTATATACTCGCACTGTATGAAAACGCTCAGTTTGATTGACAGGCTACATCAAACACAGCCCCTACAGACAGCTCTGTCTAAGAACAATTTCCAATAAAGCTGTTTCATTCAAAATTACACAATGCAAGTCCAAGTACCGAGCAAACAGGCTGAGAAACTGTGCTACAGCAGCTCGGCTAATCACACTGTGCACCGAAACTAAAACCAGGTGGTGATGTACATGGTTGGACAATCCATGTCTCTCTACAGCCTATTTTACAAAGACAGTACTAATGTTTATACCTTGCAACTCTGTTAAGTCAAACAGTAAAGTTGGCACATACAGACTTTAGTAGCGAATGACGATTTTCGCCTCCATGTTGTTAGTCTCTGTGTGTCCACCCATATAGGGGAAGTGGTAGTGATTTTGTTTGTGTGTGTTTAAAAACGAGCTAAAAAATTTGCAGAGTAAATACCTGCAGGAATTTGCCAAGGCAGAATGTTTAAAGTGACCGACGACTTTGTGTCTGACTTCCACAAGGTCAGTAACACCTCTCTGTGCGCACACACAAATATATTCCTGTTCTGTACAAAAAGAGAATCTAGATTTACACTTACTGTTCTCAAGTTCTTTTTAGATTTCCACTTCACATGGTGCCCTGTATATTTTACTCATGTTGCTTCTAACTCCATTATTACATTGGAAAAATATTTTTATGTTATTTACTGATACAATATTTAGATTAAATATTGCTCTAATTACGCATGATTTCTCCAGTTCTGTGACTTGAGAATAGCTTTAGTAGAGGGCATCAGTACACAAAATATATTATTATTTTTTTATATTTTATATATTTTTTATATCTTTTATAGTGTTTTGTACTATAAAACTTAAGTAATATGTTCAAGGTAGTAAGTATTATTTATATTAAATATTATTAGCTTGCCTAAAACAAAGTAACTGTAAAAGTTCGAAATAATATTTTCAGGTTCTTTTGTGTGCCTTATTTAGCTGATATATTACTGTAATTGTCCTGGCTTTTTAAACATTCTGTGTGCACATGAGCCTTTATTACCGAATCATGGCTTGAATTTCCAGATTGCACCTGATTTTAGTTAATGGAACCCACTGAGCCTGGAGTAAACTGCTTGACTAACTAAGTGAGGCTCATTCAAACAAGCTTGCTCCATGGAATAACCCCCTGGATTTTGTTTGCCTGACGTTATGTGTTATTTAACTGGTGCACCAGGTGTATACCAGGTGTTTTCATGTTTACCTGGCATTACAGGTGTTCCTCCTGACCAGCTCCAGTGCTCGACCCACGCTGCCCAATGAGCCATCAGTCAGGATGAAGAGCTGCCGAGGGCAGCTGCGATGGACAGGCTGGCGGTAGACCCAGGACAGTGCCCCCAACAGGTTGGTGGCACCCTGATCTGCACGCAGCCTCTGGATATAATCTAACACCTGGGCCAGAGTGCTCTTTTGTAAAGAGAAAGGAAAACAAGGGTGATTCAGACCATTTTGCTCTGTGCTGTTAAACCATGTTATACATACCATTAAACTACAAGCCCAATTCCAACGGTGTAAAGACAAGATATTTGATGTTTTACCTTCTGAACTTTATTATTAAGCACTGCGTCCTTGGACCCTATTGAAATTGTTAATTATGCTGCTTCTCCAATAAAAAAAAAACACCCAGACCAAACTGTAACTCCTACGGACATGAAACTTGATCACTGGGTAGTTCTCCCCTATTATAACAGCCTAACGCGTTATGCCTTGTAACTCCTAAATCAGAATTTTTTTTCCTGGTTCCCTGACTCAAGACAAACAAATTTGCTATTTGAACCATTTAGCTCTGTTTACTTTGGTTTTTGCTAATATGAATTATAAGTGAAACCTACTTTTGCCAGCTAATGCGATTTTTATTTTTTTTAACCTCAATCTTCATGTAATTGGTATCAAAAAATTCACAAGACCCTAAACCTCAATAATTATCAAAAAAGTTCACTTTTGTAAACAATATTGCTGCTGTATTCTAATGAACCCTTTTGGATTAATTCAAAATAAGCTACAAATTCTGTAACTCAAGAATGCTCCATCTAGAAAAAATACAACTTCATAGGCCTATAAGATCCATGATTCTAAAGTTGGCTACCAGGTATATTGCATGCACATCATTAGGGGCCACTGTAATTGCTAAATAACTGTTTCTTAGCATCCATACATCCTATCAAGCTGAAAAAGTGCATGCTGCATGTTTGAGCCAGATTGTAAATTCCTGATGATATCTTGATAGCTCAGCAGTAATGGTCGCCATCAGCCAATCAGCCTTCAGCAAGCATTTGGCAGGTTTAACATTGCCCAATCATCATGAAACTTGAATGGTGTGTCTGTGTAGGCACTTTCTAAGAAACAATGAAATTTTAAAAGATTTGGTCACTAGGGGTGCTATTCAGGAAAATCAAGTATATCCTATACATATTTTTACTTCTGGTCAGATAACTGGTTTGAAATAATCCAGTACAGTGTCCCAAACAAATTGCACCTAGAAGTATATTAAAAAAATGTAGTTATTTTGCAATTGTTAATTGCTCAAAAATCTGTACTTTTTGAACCAGTGTCTCAGTTTTGATCCTAACTTTTCAAAATTGGTTTTCAAATACTCTGTGCCCTCTGTAGATAAATAATTATCAAGAAAAATGTTGACTTTCTTTACTCAGCATGGTGTCCTTCAATCAAACAATCATTATGGCCTTGGCATTTCTAATTTAATGTGTTATAATTCAAAAGAAAGTTGGGACAGATTGAGACTCTGATGAGGTGTGCAAATTTTGGTCTAGATTGGCCTTTAGGTGGTGCTATAGTGCCCAAAACACAAAATCGTAGGCCTTTATTAAGTTGTTCAATGCTTGGACCCGCTCATTGCCACCTGCAGCTATGTTTATTATTTTTTGTAAACATGCACTCATTTTGAAACTGATGCCTGCAACACTTTCCAAAAAAGTTGGGACAAGGACTAAACACTCATTCCTGGATATAAAACGAGCATCCAGGAAACACTGAGTCCTTTTATGAACAAAGATGGGTCGAGTTGGGAACAGCATATGCTGCTGTCTAGATGATATCTTTTTCGGGGGCCGTCTCTGCTTGTTTCAGCAATACAGTGCCAAGTCATGTTCCACAACACGTGTTACAACAGCATGGCTTTCTTCTTTTTTTGTTTTTTCCTTGTCTAAGCAGTGCCTGGCAGTTTCCATTTCCTCATAATTGATCCAACAGTGCTCACTGGGATATCCAAACACGTGGAAATTATTTTGTAGCCTTTTCATGTCTGTAACTTTATCTCTAATTTCCTTAGAATGTGATTTAATTTTTCACAGGTTTCCTTTAGAGTTACAGACTAATCAGTGGCACTTGGATTTGGGGGACTAAGGGCAAACTTTTAATGATTCACAAGTACAGACAAATTCTAAGCCAGTTGTATCCTTGTTAGGGCAAATATCTTTTATTTGTTTAAACTTGGAGCTTCCACGTCACAGAGGTTGAATACTTAAGCATTACATAAAACCAATATCACTTTAAATTGATTAATTCTAAGGGCCAGTCCTTTGAAATAAAATATGATACAGCACAAAATATCAAAGTGTAATTTCTAATGCAGACAAATCTGATTAATTTTAAGGGGGTTGAATATTTTGCAAGGACTGTAGGTGCAGTTTGTAGTTCTACAATTATAGACTGTAGTCTGTCTGTTTCTCTGCAAAACTTATTAGCTCCTCTTTAGCTGATTCATCATGCTTCAGTACCTCACAGGATTACCAATGAACAGGTATTATTTGAGTGGTGGATCATTCTCAGCACTGCAGTGACACTGACATTGTCGTGTGTTAGTGTGTGTTGTGCTGGTACGAGTGGATCAGACACAGCCGTGCGGCTGGAGTTTTTAAACACTATGTCCACTCACTGTCCACTCTATTAGACACCTACCTTGTTGGTCTTGTTGTTTCTGATCACATGATGCTGTTGGCTGGATGGTTTTGGTTGGTGGGCTATTCTCAGTGCACCACTGAGGTGTTTAAAAACTCCAGCAGCACTGCTGTCTGGTCCACCACTCAGATATGTCAATATATGTGCTTTATGGTGGTCCTGTGGGTTTCACACTATTGAAAAAGAGGATTAAATGGAGCTAACAAGTTATGCAGAGAAATAAATGGACTACAGTCAGAATTACAGAGTGCACCTATATGATAAGTGGACCTGGTAAAATGTACAATGAATGTAGAAACAAGGTAGATGAATGTAATAAAGTGGCCAGTGATCTAATCCAATTCAGTATGCTGAAGTACAGAGCCAAAACAACAAAACTTGCACTAAATTACTGAAATGTACTGTATAAACCTGTAAATGCATACAGTATAAACCTGTATATAGTATGATTTTTGTGTTATGAACTGGCTAGACCAATCTCTTTATAGCTTCAGCTCCATACCAACAATAAAACAACAAGTAATATCTTATGCAAAATCTGAAACCAAGATATAAGCTGCAAAACAACATTAGAGGTAAGCAAGTTGAGTCAGAAGCCAGATTTGGTTTGACTGATGAATGATTTAAAATGCTAGGCAGGTCACCATATGGCTGCATGTGTGTTTTTAACCAGCGTTTGTTGTGGAAGACCCTGGAGCGGCTAAAACCTGATACTGCACTGCCATGGCAACCTTGAGTGCTGGCCAGGACACGGATTGTTATCGGCAGGGGAGATTACTCACACATAAAACAACAACCACACACACATTGTAAGATTTGGTAAACTATCTTAAAAAAGTCTTAAATTAATCTTAATTTATATAGGTTTTTGAGTCAGTAAAGCCAGTTAGTTCTTGGAGATCTACCACATAATTTAGTTACAGTGCCAGTCTGATAAACTCATCTGGGTCTAACATTCTTAGCTGAATCAGGTGCTTTACAGCTAAATCTCTGCACAGTGGTAGAGCACAAAGAATTGGGCTGAAACAAAATTCACCACAGTGGCAGACTGAAAAAAGGGATATATCTATTTTGAAGTTATTTAAACCAGTCATTTACACGTGACTAAAATATATCACCTCAACACAGACATCCCCGAAAGTAAGTAAACTGAAAGAGAAACTTGTGTTGATGTCATTATATTCATGTGGAAATGATGTACACATTTGAACCAAGTGAATACACTGCATCACTTTTATCAGTGTGTGCATGAACAGGGATGGCAGACAATTCTGATGTACAGCAGATGTCTAGGAGCATTGATTGGGTCCTCAGTTGGATTGTACCGTATCTTTCAAATGTCTAGACATACATACTCATTGCAGGGGTTTGCTTATTTTTCACGTTAGAATTTTAGAATAATATTCAATATACTCAACATCACTGAATGTGTTTGGGATTACTTGGACGATGAGAAGCAGAAAATGCAACCAACTTGTAAGACTGAACTGGAGGTGTGGAACAAGCAGATTTCTTTGAAAAACCGAAAAGGTCTCATAAAAAGCAGGCAAGCTGTGTAATAAAAGCAAATGGTGGACACATAAAATGCTACATTTAATATTATAATTAGTTGTTTAGCTTCTGTGTGCTGTAATTCCCAGAAAGCTATGAAAAAGTTCCAGTCATTTGAATGTGGGTGTGTGCACAGCATAAGCTCCTCAACCCCAGATTGTTTATATTTTGGCTTATGTACTAATTTTAAAGAATATGCCTTGTTTTAGGTGTGTTCAAACATTTAACTGACACTGTCATCTTTGTACATAAGAAGAAGGTGGCATTTCTTGGTTTTTATTTACAGAGCTTGATTGAAACCCTACATTTCATCTTTCCTTGTACTCAAATGAAAAATATAATAAATGAACAAATGAAAAATACTTAATTCATCTACAGAATTTTGTAAGAAAGCATTTCCATGCAATGCACAATCAGTCAGGAAAAACTTTCAAATATTGAAATCTTTGAAATACATTTTTTACCTTTTAGTTAGTTTGGAATACTTTTAAGCAACTTGATATATGACAGCGGTATTCGATTGTCTTCATTTTGTGTAGTTTATTAATGTGAGTTTCCAAGATAAACACATTATTAAGTTGAGATGATAGAATGGGTTACAGTACCTCACATGCACTGTAATTAGGCTGAAGTAACAAAGCATTAAAGGACTATGAGTTAATGAGTGTTTCCTTGTTCTGCGCTTAAACCCTGCTTTCTGCATTGAGAGTGAGTAACCATTCAGCTAAATGTCCCAGTGAACATTCCATTTTGTCGCAACCAAAACAATCATAACATTGTTGAAACTTTACCGAATGTTGACTGGGTAGTACCGCGACCCAGAAGGATAAGCGGTTTAGATGATGTATGTATGTATGTATGACTGGGTAGTGACATCTTTAGCTAATTTTGAGCATTATTCAGTACAGGACTAGCAAACACAGCTTTGAACAGTTGTACACACGTAAAGCAGTATACGTTTTATTAAAACACAAAAAGGTAAAAATAATAAAAAAAAAAGTAATACTGTAGCTGTCCTGTAGAGTGTTTGGAAAATTCTGTCTGGTGGTACAGACCCTTCAGTTGTAGTGTGATCAGAAGATGTTAGTACTCACATCAGTGCAGGGCTTGCTGGAGGCAAAGAGAGGCTTTACAGAGGAGCCAAAGCCCACAACGTTTAGTGTGGTACCATGAGGAAGGCTCTTAATGGCCACCAGCATACCTTCCTGTTTGAAATAAGGACAAGAGGCCATTGTAAAAGTTAGAAATTGCAGTTATTTATCATGTGGCTCTTTGAAATTAACGAAAATGCAGATTCAAAACTTTCAGTCAATCCCACGTTTATGTTTTTAAGTAGAAATTGAATATTTATTTTACTTTATTGTTGTGTCCAGTCTTGTTTTGTGGAAAGAAAAAAACATTGTTAACATTTCTGCCACCTTTTTTTGTTGTTTGACATCAAAACAAACAAAAAAGTAAGAGCGGGTAATCTGACAATATGTCATCTTTTCTAGCATATTGTGGATTATCATCAGTACCAAAAGAACTCTGGATATGACAGTACTGTTGTTCTATTTTGTCCATACCAATATGATAACAAACCTAAAAAAAAAGGAGGTATCGTGTATGCCATATCGCTCACCCTTAGAGAAATGTCGAAAGTACAGTTTTCAGCCTGCCGAAATGTAAATTACAATTGAATGTAACTGTGTAGTTAATTATGCAATTATGTGATTAAATTTGAACAGTATGGCACAGTGGCATTAATGATGCTTCTAAGGGTTAAAGCAAAATTCTATCACTTATGCCTTATTTTTCTGGCACCGTAGCAACACAAAGATAATAATAAGAATTTTAATCCTTCTACACTGAAAAAAGTGAGGCAGAAATTTTGCACACCCTTGATCAAATGAGGTTTTATTGATTTTCTAAGTGACAATAAGTTAACACATCCTCTTCAGAAAACACACTTTTGCAGATTTTAATGCACGATTACTGTTTATTTGCTGAATTTAACACATTGGGAAAAAAATAAAACATAAAATGTGGTCTGTGAAAAATGTACAGATTTTATTATATATTTATATTGTATGCTTTTTTCTTCAAATATGTTAAGCTCAACATATAAACAGAAATTGGACTGAAATCTGCAGAAAAATATTTAAAACACTTATGTATAGATGAGTTAACTTTTAACTTGATTTTGAGTCATTTAAAATCAAGTTAAAAGTCAACTTATTTTTTGAGTTTAAAAAAAACATAAATATATAATAAAATATTAACTTGAATAATTAACAAAACATAATTTGTTCAGGGATGTTAAATTTTTTTCATATGACTTAAATAAATTCATTGCATCACTTACTTTTAGTATTAAAAATGGGTCCAGAACAGCTTTTTTGGAGGTAGCAGATATAATAACAAATTATAATGGCCAGTGGTCAATGTATAATCACAATTTGTCACCAAGTTGATATGAAACAGTCTTCTGTGGATGAGAGAGAGAAAGAGAGAGATGTGTGTACCTTGATCTTGTTGATTGTGTGCTGTGTGACATTGGCGCCACGGTCGATGAGAAACAGCAGCTCTCTGCTGGCCTGCTGCAGCTCCAGCGGCTCGGACAAAAGGTCAGGACAGAAGTTCAGCATCAGCACCGGGTTACTCAGTACATCCTTATGATAACGCTTTCTCATAAACTCCAGCTGAAGATGAACAGAAACCAGTTTTAACCAGTAGGAATGTACATTTTTCTTTTCACCAAATTTTTACTAAATTTTCCCCCCAGTTTGGTCATGGCCATTTTCCACCTGCCTGCTAGGGTAGGTCTCCCTTACAATATGCTGAGAGTGCTACCAGGCACTGTATCTGATGGGAGGGCCATCCTACCCACTCACAGAGAGCGAGGCTCTCTTCGAACTGAATTTAACATGCAGTTTCCGGATGATGGGCCAGACACTTAGACCAGCTCTGCAGAGATTAGCATTTTCCCTTTTTTAACACTCTGAATTCACCCAAAATCTTTATAGGAAAGTCTGCCCACTTCGATGGCTATCTAGGCAGTGCCCACCACAATGAGGGGGATTTTTTTTGCAGATTTACCAGGGAGCTGATTGACTCTTTTAATTGAAGGGCAAGATTTCTTCCTAAACAGATGCTGTGTTACGTATTACAAACTTTCCTGTTAATTTTCCAACCAGTGACCTTTATACAACCTTCTCCTTTATAATGTCTTTGTTTGACCTCATGAAGGCCTTTCTGATTAGCTGATGCCCTGAATCAGGAGTTTAATGAGGCAGAATGCTATATGCAAAGCGTGGCCCAGCTTAGACAGATGCCCAACCCAGGAAAGTAAATCTACTTGATTGTGATTGATTAACTGTTGCACTGTTAAATGCATCATAAAACTCACCACAACTCAGCTATTTTGGTATGATTCAGGATTATTATTTGTAACTTAATACTATTTATATCCAACTATATTTATCCAACTGTATTATTATTATTATTGTTATTAATATCATTATTATTATTATTATTATTATTATCCAACAATACTATATTATTACTGTGGATTACAATCAGTTCCAAAATCAAAGAAGTTGAGTAGCAGTCCAATGCATGACAATGCAGCTATGTACATTTACACTTCTATTAATGGCATTACTAGGACAGGAGTAACAGTATTAGTAACTGTTTACACATTAAAGAGAAAAGAGTCCAGGACATTAATTCAGTGTTTGACATATAAACAAAACCATTCAGAGTGGTTTGATATTAAATGTGACTTGGGAATGGGATGGGAACCAGGGATCACTATAACACAAATATAGCCATTTTATTTATTATCTGAAGCCGTGAATAAACCTAAATGTGTTCTCAGTTTTTATTTGTAATGCTAATTGAAAATCTGAAAAAATAATTATTTTCTTTTTTGGACTCTTTGCCTTAGAATGTCCTGCATGCACCTCTCCTGGGCCAACACTTTGTCAAAACTATTGTTAAGCATCACTCAGTGTGTCCATAGCCATTCCATATAATAACTTGAGGAAGTTTTTGGAGGCTTTAAAGACTTTAAAGAGCTGATACGTTTCTCTAGAATGAAGCATTTCCTATCAAACCTTTCTGAACGACTTTGTTTACATCTTAACCACTCAATTATGCAGAGTTTTCGAAAAATCAGTGGAACTCCGCTTTAGTAGAAATCACAAGAACAAATGAGTGCTTACATCCAGGCACTGTGATGACAGCACATGCCACAAAGAAACTTTAGAACTACAGACTACAGTAGAAGAAACGGCAGGAGAAAGACTGAAAAATTGATGTAATCTTACTTTCTTCTCAGGCTCTGCTTCCTTGCGGACACAGCGAATGAAATCACGGCGGGCACTAATCTGCTGCTCGTACTGACTGAAGGTTAGTCGGCCCCTCTCCAGGATAACCAGTGGACTATGAGGCTCTGTGAACAACAGTCATCACCGCATTTCAAACCTTGCATGTTGGACCCATCTAATTATACTGATACTATTATGGACTAAATCTTGAGTACTCAGTCATCCCAGAGCCCAGGACACTGACCCAACTTTCTCTGATAAACACCAACACTGCAATGCTGGTGGTCGGCTTTAGAATGTTTTGAATTGAGATGCCGATTGAACCAGTGGTGGGGGGGGGGCGTATTCTAGAGACTTGATTGAACAATCACAAACAGGTATGACACACCATCTTGGCATTAGGTCAGTGTACTCTGAGCTTAACCTTTGCAAGCCTAGAGTTTTCATATCCTTGTCATATAACAGCGCTACTGTTTATACATTCAATTTAAATTACATAATTAAATGTAATTACATAGTTAATTTATCAATTAAGTTATTTATGTAATTAAATAATTTACATTCTGTATCAACAAATTCAGTTTGCACTTTTTGCAAGTTTTCCATTTTTTTAAGGTCAAGAAATGAGAAAAACATGGTAAATATATACATATTTTTATGTACAGTAAAATGGGAAATAAAAACAAAATGGAATCATAATAAAATATCTTCTGCTTTATTCCACAGACACATATGTGGTATCGACTGAACGTTTAGCACATTCGACAGATTTCTTTTCCCTTTTTTAATGAGATACAAGTATAAAATTATTCATACTTATTCTATATACAGTACTATATATACAGTATACAGTTGTAAGCAAAGGTTTGAATACGTCCAGTCAAATTACGTTTTGTTGATTTAAGTGAAACTTTAATTTGAAACTTTAACTTTAATATGACATTTTTCTTTCCATTTCAGTGTAAAAAATTCTGTTTATTTGCTAAGTGTAGCATATATTATGAAAAAAAATGTATTTTAATTTTTTATCTCAATATCCCAACATGTTAAATTCAGCAAATAAACTGTAATTGTGCGATAAAATGTGCAGAATTGTGTTCTCTGTAGAGGCTTGTGTTAACTTATTTTCACTTGGAAAACCAACAAAAAATGTGCCCAAACTTTGCCTTACAACTGTATATCCAAAGTGTCCAGACACTGCTTCCCATCAGCTATTCCACCTGAAAGCAATCAGACCCTCACAGCACTGTTCCAACATCTAGTGTAAAGCATTCTCAGAAGAGTAGAGGCTATTGCTGCAGCAAAGGGAGACAAACTCCCAATATTAAATAATTAATATAAAATACACTTTTTTGTTTTCACCATAAAAAACACTACAACTTCTAATGGTTTAAAGTAGCCCTGTTAGTGCTGCTCAGCTGTGTGTGCCCCCCACTCCTCACCGCTCAGGTGCAGTATGATCTCCAGATGTCGGTCGTATGGGTGATCCTCAGCCAGAGTGATGTAGGTGGCGGAGGCTGACTGAGCGCTGGGGTCCGCATCTGCACGCAGCGCATGGGTTGGGCTCTCTAGACCTGAGGAGGCACACGAGTAGAGTTCAACTCAGTCCAATCACAGATGAGGGAGGACAGACAAGTGGGATGAAGATGGGATGCACTGAATTTTCCAGTTTAATGTATTATAAGCCATCAAAGTATATATCGTACATCAGTGGATCCAAACTCGGGTAAGTGTAATAACCTTGGGGTATGTAAAAAAAAAAAAAGTCTGACATTTGATATTTACACTTTGTTTAATCTTCATTTAATTCCATTAACAGCCGCACAATTGCACTTGTATCTCCCCAGTACAGACAACACAAACTGCTCTGACAGCTCCGCTCATTAACTCCTGCAGGGTTGCTGCACAATTTCACAAATCAAATTCAGTGCTTTTTAATGACCTTTTAATGACTTTTTAAGACCTCAGCATAACTAAATAATACCATTTCCACTGCAAAACAATGCACACTCTCAAATACAGCTTGCATTAAATATTTATTTTATTCTATTGGCATGACCCTTACTTGATCTTTTCAGTGTGTTTGACTTCATCAGTTCTGCTGTCCTCTAGTCCTTCATCACTGCTCAGTTTAGACCACAGGACTGCTGTCGGCTGAATATTTTTGGTTGGATTTGTGGATCAGTTTAATAAACAAGATGACGATTTTTAACACAGTCTTTAAACATTGTGTTATAGTTTAATAAGAGATGTCCCAATTTATTTTTTTGGCCTCCGATCTGATCAAAATCCTTTAACATTGAGTATCAGCGCTCTTGTGTGGCGTCTAAGCATTGGCCCTATCATCAGGAGAGCGTGAGTTCGATCCTTGGTGATGCTACAACCATCTGTGGCTGTAGGCACAATTGGCCTTGCTCTCTCTGGTAGGAAGGATGGCCGTCCCTACCCCTCATCACTCAGCGCGATGCCAGCCAGCGCAGGCATCTGTTAGCTGACATAACAGAACTGGTGGTTAGTGCTCTCCTCCAAGCACGTTCAAGCTGTCCAATGATGTTTGAAAAGTTCAAAAAGATCTGGTGGCTGGCTTCACATGACTCAGAGGAAGCTTTTGTTTGCCATCGCCCTCCTAGCGCTGGTGGTATCATGTGACTGGGAGAGTCCTCTAACTAGTGGGTGGAATTGGATATGACTAAACTGGGGAGAAAATTGGAAAAATGTTTTTATAGTTAACACAGCTGCATAATTTAGATGGTGGAGTTTGGCCAATATGGCCAAGATGTTTCTCCCAGAGATCTTATTCCCTCACTATATGGATCATTCTACCAAACTACCAAAGTCAGAGTTATGAACACAGTTCAGATTTTTAACTGACTTGGACTTCAGACTAAAATCCTTTTGCCTTGAATGACCCTGTACCTTAGTTCTGTTTACTTTTCTAAAACCATTGAGCGAACATTCCATTTAGTCACTAACAAGATAATCCCAACTCTAAGCTTTACAAAATGTTTTGGTGGTGACAATTTTAGCTAATTCTGTGCATAACTCTAAAATGCTAGTCAGTACATGACTAGCAAACACCGCTTTGGACGGTTGTACACACATAAAATTATAATATTTTTATTAGTGCAGAAAATGTATTTCGGCAATGATAATTTTTAAAGTTACAAACTGATTCTTAGATTTTGAGCCACATTTACTTCAAAACAATGAGATCTAACTGCTCAACATGAGCACCACATTTGGAACTAATATGATAGAAAGGTCCATAACAGTTACTATAATAAGCAGTTACATCACTTCATTTTTATTATATGCATGCATTACACACTCTGAACAGCTTTAGTTTTGTTGGACATCTCGTGAAATAATTTTACAGGGTGGTGAATATGCCTTGGTTTCATGCTTTTCTTATGTGTGCGCAGTAGCTGCTGCTTAGCTCATAAGGTCAGTTTTAAACCAGAAATGGTGCACACTGCCTGTAAAAACTTCTGTGAGATTTTCAGGTGGTGGGAGTGAATCTGGAGTTAGATTTTAAGGTTGTGGGAGTGAATTTGGAGTGAGATTTTCAGGTGGTTGGAGTGAGACTGGAATGAAACTGGAATGAGATTTTCAGGTGGTTGGAGTGAAACTGGAGAGAGATGTTTAGGTGGTTGGAGTGAGACTGGAGAGAGATGTTCAGGTAGTTGGAGTGAGACTGGAAGGAAACTGGAGTGAGATGTTCAGGTGGTTGGAGTGAGACGAGTGAAATGTTCAGGTGGTTGAAGTAAGACTGGAGTGAGATGTTCAGGTGGTTGGAGTGAGACTGGAGTGAAATGTTCAGGTTGTTGGAGTGAGACTGGAGTGAAATGTTTAGGTGTTTGGAGTGAGACTGGAGTGAAATGTTCAGGTTGTTGGAGTGAGACTGGAGTGAAATGTTCAGGTGGTTGGAGTGAGACTGGAGTGATATGTTCGGGGGGTTGGAGTGAGATTTGATCACTGTTAAACTGCCTAAAACACGTAAGATGCGTGACACACACGTCATGTTTGCCATCGGAGATTCCAGCCAACCAGGGTAATGTTCTGACATCACGAAGGTGTGTTGTAGCTCGTGCAGCGGATGATGTGCAAACTGCAGTGCCTGATTTCAGACACTGCAGCGCAGCGAAAGTCGGACAAAACTTGTAACCAGCATGCATCACGTTAAGTCAGCGCTGCGCTGGGCCGCATTAAGTCGAAAGATCAGCGGCAAACTGAGCGCAGCAGTAAAGCGGTGAAACTTGGCGGCAGATCCGAGCAGCGCGCAACGCTCAGGCTCCCGCAGCGGCAAAGCGGGATGGGGGGGCGGGCAGGAAAACAAGCGAGCCGCCAGCGCAAAGCGTTTTTTGCCGTTTATTGCCTTAATGTCCCCTCAGGACCCCCAGCCAGGCCACATGTTTGCCCTAATGCAGCTCCAGTTCCTCATGTCCAGTCTGTACACATTGGTGTGGGAGAGAGAGAGAAAGAGAGAGAGAGGAGCTCAGCTTCACTCCAGAGAGAGAGAGAGAGAGAGAGAGAGAGAGAGCGCTGTGAGCTCTGCTGTCGCGCTGGTGAGAGAAAAAGGCCGAGTTCCAGGAAAAGCAGCCAATGACCTCTCAGCAGGCCAATCAGATGTCATCATACAGAGAGAACGAAATACGATTTAGGTTCGCTCTGAGCGCCTCGGCCGGTTGGCATCGGAGTTCTTTGCGCGGCGAGAGAGTCTGAGAAACGACCCAAAACGGAGAGTCTTAGTCAAAAACCGTGAGAGTTTACAGCCCTGAAAAAAACTGTTTAAGCTTCCTGTTTAAGACAGTTCAACACTGCCCACGTTTAAAGCGCCTTTAGTCCTCTGTAAACGCTCATCACTGCAGGATGTGCATGTCTGTTTCTGGCTCCTCCACAGTGAAGTAAACAGTGCAAACACGAAACAAAGCATCTGAACTGCATCGAGCTTATTTTAACCCACCTGATCCATTACAGTGCGTCTGGACGCTATTTTGAATACCTCTAATAGTAAAAATAAGACATTTACAGACATTTTATGACCTGAATTTTTCAACTTCTATTTTAAGACTTTATAATACTTGTTAATGACCCGCGGGAACGTCACTGACTGAATGCAAGTGACAGCTTGATCAGTGGGCTGTTTGAAATGGAGAACAGCAGCAGCAGCAGCAGCTCTACATCAGGCCTCTCTACTGAAATAGTCACTGTTACACTTTTACAAGGTGAAATATGAGCTAATATGTCTGTCACAAGCTTCAAGTAAAACATGTAACGTCTTTTAGAAGTTTAAAATGTCTTTGTTTAATCCAGACCAGCCAAACAATGTTCATGTGAATCGCCGTTAGCTTAGCACTAACAAACTACTAGTATCTTATAAGGTCGCTAGCAGAAGTTAGCATTATCATAAAGGTAGGTGTTTTTCTCAAGTTTAGGCCAAGTTTTGACATTTGTAGCCTAGCTCTGATAATCATGGTTTGCCCCTGTATAAAATATCCCCAAAAGTTTTAGGAAATAACACTTTAAAACATTGTTTTTCTAAAACTAAAGCAAAATATCATTAATCACATCAAGAATAATGTGTCATAATGGCAGGTGTTCACAAGTGTTTGCATCAAAATTAAGTAAATGTGTTTTTCTTTTGTCTCTCTGAGCACAAATAACTTAAGCCATGTTAGCGCAAGAATTAAGACAAGCGTTTCTCGCACATTAAACAGCACACAGTCAGTATTTACTCTCATTCTTGGTGAATGAATAGGTGCTTCATTATAATAATATCCTCCTTGTATTTTGCGCTTTGAGAGGGGAAAAAATCTCTCTCTCTCTCTCTCTCTCTCTCACTCTCTCTCTCTCTCTCTCTCTCTCTCTCTCACGTCAGACAGCATGTGGTGGAACAGCACTCGGTGACTACAGTGAGATTTAAGACTCTCCTTCACCATCTCTGTACTCTTAGCTTCTGGCACTGTGCCAAACACACACACACACACACACAAGCAACAGACACTCACAAAGATGCACAGCTGCATTACTACCTTTACCATTTGTTTTCCAAAATGTTTTCCAGAAAGCCACATTCTGAGCAAAAATGCATTTCTCCAACTAATTGTCCACCTCAATGTCCGAATGGTTTGTGCAGATGTTACTCAGAGACAGTGAAGGGTCACTTTGTCCCCACAAAGACAGGAAAGCAATGTGAACGGCCCTGAGCTGAATGCTGATGTATATCATAATCCTGCCAAGTACTACGCTAACTAAATTACATTCAAGGCAAGCGGTGGTCACATGACTCTAGCAGCACTCATCTAGCCTTGCACCTACAGAGTAGGAGGTTTACAATGCAGTTAGCTGCAGCTTAAAACACTCCACAGCTGGCCTGATTTTGTGTATTTTCTTTTGCACCTTCTGCCTCTCACTTTATCAGTATTTTCACTTGTGTTTGAAGTTAGGTTTTTGTTTTATTTATACAGTGCCCCACACAGATCCAGTTTCTCAATTTTGCTAATTTAGAATTTCTTTATGTCTTCTGCATCCTGATGATCAGAAAAAACATTGTCCTCATCTGACAGACAAAGGGCTTTTTACCTTGAAGCGATATTGTCTGTAGTAGTCTATAATTTATAACATCTTTTTTTGGACAGTATTTTTTATTCTTATTATTAGTCTTATTTTACCACAGTATTATTACTAAATACTGCTGAGAAGAAAATACAATGTTTCTTATTTTACTTGCCCCAATGTATACCCTAGTTGCACATTGGTCCTATTTGGTGCTATAATGGTGCCTGTGGTTTATGCTCACTGTTGTAGCTCCTGGGTGTGCTTGTTGTTGCCAGCCATGAATGCCAATAAATAGAAGTGTTATTTAAGTGTTTTGCAACAGTGGGTCTCAGAAGGCTAACTTGATAAAGAGTGACAACATTGAAGACTTCAGAGGAGCAGAGATTGAAAGCTGGTAAGTTCTGCTCTTGTTAAGTATTGCTTATTTGTTATTAGCTCTCCCCCAAACAGGCCAGTCGACTTTAGTGAGGGCAGAATACAGTCCAATTGCAGAGATTATAGACTGATCTCCAAACAGGTTGGTCTTAACTGCAAATGGGTTTATGTATGTTCTGTTAAATGCTTTGTTATTGGTTTAAAAGAACTGTATGCAAACAGGCTTAACGTCAAGAGTTGTGCTTGCCTTGTTAAAAACATATCTCAGTGCTATAAAATGTTGGCCTTTTAATGTAAATGTTATAGTGTTCGCCGCTATTAAAAGAGACACAGCTTTCACACAAGTCATGGTGCTTTATTGTTGTTGTTGGCCAAAACTACGCCATACATAAGCAGAGTTTCCTCTTAACTACAACTTGCTACTCAGCTCACGTCTCTCTCTCTCTCTGTGCCAGCTCACACACACTTACACACAGCCTGGTGCAGTACTTAGTTCTGCCCTCAATAAGAGTCCTTAGCAAACTGAAGCAAGTGTAATAAAGGCTAGAGGCTAAAACTAACATGCAAAAACATTTCTTAAACACGGTAGTACAATATTTTTATATATAGTGAATATAAAATGTCATCATGCTTAAAATTACAGTGTGTTTCTGATGTAAAAATGAGTATCCAATCTTTTCCATCTTTAATGTGACCCTGCAACCAACAAAATTAAAAACACATCTGGCTAAGAGGTAGGGTGACACATGAAGCCAAAAAAGCAGGAAAAGATATGGATCTTGATCATATTCATTGTAAATGGGCTGTGTTTTCTATATCCACATACAATTGCATAATGTGTCTGCCAAGTGCTGACTTGTTGGTGAGAGGATAACAAGAAAACGCAAGATGGAGCATAGACAAGGCTGAAATTATCCCCAAACCGCTTTGGGCCAATAAAAGCATCCAAGCTTGTGTAACAGAGGAAAATGAAACAGAATGCACTAATCCAGCTTGTATAGGGCTTAAGTGATTGAATTATGCAGTAATTTTGTAAAGTCGGTGAAGTTACGCTTCAGTATTACCTGCTAGTAGACATGCCCCACGGACCAGCAGCTGGAAGTTGAGCTCATATGGGGCGAGGTTGGTTGCAGGGCTGGAGAACAGAGCATGTGCACACTGTTCATTAACCTCCAGCAGCTTCTCCTGCTTACCAGACACACCTCCAAAACACCTGGTTGCACTGGGTGAATGAGAGAGAGCAAAAAGAAAGCAATATACAGAAAAACAAAGGTCATTTTTGTCAGCAGTGAAAAGATTATATAGATCTCAGTATAAATTCATTTGTGATTACCAGATGCTACCGTCAAGGTTATGATGTTATAAATCTTATAAGCATGCTGCTACATTTTTTATGTACAAAGAAAGAAAGAAAGAAAGAAAATTTCACTTCACTTCGTCTCCTCTGATCTTCCTCCATTTTCACTTTTGGTTGGTTGCATCCTGGCTCTGACTATAGGAGTGAGCACTGTAGGGTAGACCAGGTGGATCGTGCCATTCTCTAATGTGGGGAGCTCCAGGGTGGTGCTGATGACCACTGACACCATCTCCATAGGAGCGATGAGTCCTGTGCCTATGATGAAGGTGGTCCGCTCCAGATCCTCATCCAGCAGGAGGTGACCTGAACACAGGATCACAAAGAGAGAGAGAAAACACATTGTCAGTGCCACATATAAAGCCTGTGCAGGCCTAAGATGGCTGTATTAAAACAATAAGACTAACAGTTTGATTCACTATGTAAAGATTTTTAAAATTCCAAAATGTACTGTTTACTCTTCTGTCTATACAGTCCATATATGGAAACTAAGCTGCAAAAACTTACTGTTTTGTGATGTCACAACCATGAGCACATTTGTATATGACTCATTCAGTTTAGATGCCCATTGAAGTAGAAGTGCTAAGGACAGGCCCAAATCATCCCATGGGCTTTATAAGTGTGTGCCCAGGAGACCCCATAAGCAGTTAAATCCCGGCACTGTCTACGTCCGTTTCATCTTCTCCTCTAATTACTGCTTAGCAACCATTCCACTATCTACCATTACTTCAGTCATGCTTTCAGGTTTTTAGGTATTTTGAATTAGAAGCTCCAGATATTCAGAGGATATGCTGGAGGGATCTGTAAAAGTGAGACCTGATATTTCGACAGAGTGAAAGATGCTCATTTCTAAAGCCAAATATAAAAAGTCAGCCACTTGAATTAAAGTGAAGATTGCAGTCATCTGTGAACTGTCCACTCCCATGCATAAAATCACCAGAGGTAGAATACATAACCTTAAATGAAAAAAAAATTCCAAGCCTTCCATGACAGTATTGGTTAGTTTAAAATGCTTCGAGTTTGAGTTTTTAAGTTTGCTGCTTTTTCTGTTTTAAAATAAGCACACAGCATGTACAGTAATATACTCTACAGAAGAACTCAATAAATAGCTTTTTTACAAACACTGAAGTTCCTGCTAAAGCCTGAGTGGACTGATAAATCACTGTGATGAGCCTGTTATTAATCTCAGTGTTACTAAACGTTTTTGAGGGATGATTGAAATGAACATTCTCCTCAGTAGTGAACATGTTCACGAGTAATAAACTTAGCATCGTGTTGCACTGGGCTTCTGTACACTTCTGGTGGGTTACATACATGCCATTACCAGAAAATCACATAGCTACCAGCTTTATAATAAAATTTGCAAGATTTTGTTATTGGGATATGGTGAATTGTTTGCTTAGTCCACGAAACAGCAATAGAAGCCAGAACAGTGTTGAGAATTTTGTTCCTTCATTAAAATAAGTGAATTTTTCACAAAACATATTAACAGAAGAATGAAGAAAACTTTCAACCAGTAACAGCAAGGAACCGTGTGAATTAAATACAAATTACAGCAACAGAGTTCTTCCAATGTGCCTCATAAATATGTGGTCTAAATGTATTCTAAATGTATTCTGAATGTTACTTTTTAGATATAGTAATGAAATACATTTATGACAGTATATTGAGTATTCAGTCATCGCTGCTTTTTAGTATTCTGTTCAACTCTGGTTGTGCTTGTTGAAAGCAGACGCATGCTTTATAGGAGAATTTTGCATTGGTTGTTGGGTTTATGTTAACGTATGCTCTTTTTAATGTGTGCGTATTTTTGGTATTGTTTTGTCTGGGTTGGGAAAAAAAATTTTACTTTTAGTGGTGACATGGCCTACACTGCAGTCAGTGTCCCACCATTGTGATGCCAGTCCTCATAGTCCTTGTGTAAGATGTTATAATGTAAAAAATTCCATGACCACCTTAAAAAAGGTAGCCATGTATTGCCCACCAAACATTTGTGCCCAGGGGCCCATAACTTGATGATACAAGCCTGGCTAAGGAGGGGAAATTAAATTTTAAATGAGGCACATAACAGCCAATCAGAACAGAGCTTATTTACATAGTCCTAACGGCACAGTAACAAAACTGCCTATGGTAAAGGAGTTTGGAAAAAGCTCATGTGATTTGAATTAGACCATTTTTGATGCATAAAACCACACAAAGCTTTATATATAGAAGAAAAATGTAGACTGTGGGTCCTATGTGCATGTTTCAGTATACCGCCAACTCTCTTGGTCTCGTGTGTGTTCTTGTGTCTCACCATTAGAGCACTGTATGTCCAGGCTGTTTCCCCCACAGCAGGTCCACTCCTTGCCGTGCCCACATTGGTTGTTGAAGGCTGATCCTGGACAGCAGTCCAGACAGCAGTCATCCAGCTTCCCCCGACTCTGCAGCTCCACACTCAGCAGTCTGCCAGAGACCAGCGCCTCGAACCCCACCACCACTTCCCGCTCCCCCAGCGGATACAAAAACACCCCTAACGTCCCAGAGAGGGAGGAATGATGCACACCATGGAGGATAGAGTGTAAGATTACAGTATGTGATACGCGTAATTAATATGCGTGCTGGTAACATGACACAGTTAATGTGCATAGTAGAAAGTTCTCCCTAAGTAACTTAGGTAACGTAACACTAACCTGGGGTACATTGTTATCTAGTTAAACAGATTCAAGTAGAACATGCTTTTGGACGTGATCTCGTATTCCCCAAGCAACGTTATCTTCTAACTTACAGACAGATATTTCTAAAGATTCAACTCAGTGATGGTTTTTGTACCATGAACTAACTTTTTTCACCACAGGTATTCTTCAGTTACTTGTATGTTGTGCGTAAGTAACCAGTAATGTTTTAATCACACTCTTGGTGGCTGTAATATAGCACCATTTTGAAGCATATAAACTCACAGTGAGACCTAGCCAGGCTAAAGTACAGCTCCCACATGGCAGAGTTAGTTTTAACTTAGTTTTACAACTAAGCCTTGCAAAATAGAAAGTAAACAGCAAGAGAAATCCCCCTTATATAAATTCACAATATGGATTTTTTCAACTTTATATTCGCATGTACACCAAAAACATCCTATAGGTGTCATGTAAGAAATGTCAAATATTTAAAATTTATTATGCTGATATTTACAAATTTATCAGTGCTCAACACAGCCTTATTTCACCAATCATATTTATTTTTTAAGTATTTAGTTTGGTGAGCTCATTCAAACTAGTTTCATAGACTTTTCTTGTGTCTGTTACAGTTAGCCCGTATTGTCTCATAATCTAAATCGCTTATCCTCCTGGGCCACGGGAGTGCTGGAGCGTATCTCTATGCTAATTGGGAGGAAGACAGGAAACACCTTGGACAGGTCGCCAGTCCATCACAAGGCAAACACACAGACATTCACACTCACACCTAGGGGCAATTCAGCATCTCCAATTGGCCTGCCTTCATGTGTTTCAACTGTGGGAGGAAACAGGAGCAACCAGAGGACACGGGGAGAACATGCAAATTCCACATTGAAAGGATGCTGGTCGCCCGGCTGGGGAATCAAACCCAGGCGTCAGGGGAATAAATAAAGTGCAACAAAAATGTAGTATATGGGCCCTTTAAATGGTAATACTTGCATTTTGGCTGAATTGTTCACAAATGGTAGGTGCTCAAAATATAAATTACATTTTCATTTCTAGCACAGATAGAGCTGTAACGCTTATATAAAAATTAATATTGCTCAAATATTCTTTAAAATTATTTAGCCAAAGCCAAAAAAAACCCTACTATACATTTGGGTGTGCCTTTAGCTCCAGTTCACCTGACTTAGCTTATGTGTGTCTTGATCATTAGCTGATGACCTGAATCAGGTATTGGAAAAAGAAACAATGAAAAAATATGCAGTATTGTTGGGATATTTAAACATTGTGTACACTAAATGGCCACGTTATGAAACAGTCTTACCTTGTAGGTATACATTTCGAGACTGTAGTTCATCCTTTGCCATGCACAGTATGTAGTCACTTAGTAGCCCTTCACCAATGGTCAGTTTCTTAGCACATGTCCACTGCTGGCTGGACATTTTTAGTTGGCAGACTATTCTCTACCCAGCAGTAATACTGAGATGTTTAAAGACTGTAGCAAAGTTGCTGCTCCTGATACAATCAAACCAGTGCAGCTCACATAACTGTACTGCTACCATATTAGTGGCCCTGCTATGCTGAGAATGGCTGCCACTAAAATGATATTTGGTCAGGGATGATCTTATTGTGGCGCCTTTCCATTGATGGAAAGGGTCGAGGGCAGCTGATAAGTTGTGCAGGAACAGTTGAGCTACAGTCAGTGATTGTGAATCTACACAGGGCACATATAGTACTGAGTAAGATTCAGAGAACACCCTTCATTTATTTCTTGTGGCCTTTAAGTTATTAATCAGGAAAAAAGTAGAAAACATACATTACACAACAGTCTCAACAAGTAAATATAATATCAAATTCTTCAGCAGTTAGCGTGTCCCCCTTTACTACACCTTTACTACAGCTTCCGTTCTTTTCAGGAGACATGCTTTCAGAAATCTGCAGAAATATTTTTTTCCACACCTCCAAAGTTCTTTTGCAAGTTGTTTGCATTTTCTGCTTTTCACGGTCCAAGTAATCCCAAACACATTCAATGAGGTTGAGATCTGGACTCTGGGGTGGCCAGTCTATTGTTTGAGAACACCAGCAGCTTTGTTTAGTTTGCAAATTTTCTTCTTTGTTGTCTAGTCACATCTTCTACCTTTTCCCCTAAGAAACATCTCCTAAAAAATGAATAACTTGTACTTAATGGCTGTTTTGACTGGAAAGTCATTAAATTAAGGGTGGTCTCTGAGTTTTGGACAGTACTGTATGTGGCAGATGTTTCTGAGTACAATGTAAAATGTATCTAAAAACCGTGGCTCTGTGTGTGTGTGTGTGTGTGCTCACCCTCCACAGGTTCAGATTCAGTGTTAGCATATGTCAGGTGTGCTGTGATGCCCAGTGAACAGCCGTTGGCACAGGAAGTGATGCGGGAGCTCTTCAGCAAAAGTGGAGCCCATGTGGCACGGTTCCTCAAACCCGGCATCCTCCTTAAACACACGCAAACACACACATGCACAGATATTGCTAATCTTAGCATCTTGCACACTTAAATCTATGTTTTCTTCCTAAGTTGGTTTATTTAGAGCAAAAGCTAACAACAAGCAAAAGCTAACCTCATAGGCATACCTGAGCTTTCAAGCTGCCTTACACAATGTAGTGTATTCTGTAGGACAGAAGACCATACTCAGCAGTTTCTAAGCCATGATATCACATTTTTATCTTGTTTTTCCATTCAAATTAGTATCTTGATGTATATGTATAGTGTAGTGGGCAACACCTCTGCCTTCTATGCTGTAGACTGGGGTTCGATCCCCTGCCTGGGTACCCAACGCTATACCTGTAAAAGTCCTTGGGCAAGACTTCTAATGCTACTTTCGCTTACCTTTGTTTGTTTTAAAAAAAATGATCATACTGTAAGTCGCTCTGGATAAGAGCATCTGCCAATGCTGTAAATGTTCCCTGGGACTTTAAGTAAATCAGTCAAAAGTAGCTGAGAGATGGAAGCCAAACTAGAATTAGCAATGCTGCAAATCTCAGTCTGCTGATATTTTGTCATTTTCAAAAGGACATGCTTGTTTCTGTTCATAACATATCACATATGTTTTGGGTAAAATGAGCCCAGCCGGCAAATAAAACAACATCTAGCCATCTAACTAGTCTGACTAATCTGCCACACTGCTGCCTTTTCTCCTGCGGCAAAACACTTTTGATGAACTCACACCGCACATTTGTCTGAGGCCACGAAAACAGAGTCACCATCATATCATTTGCTCCAATAACCATTTGGTTTTAAACGCTTTTAAAAATACCCCCGCCCCCTCACGAAGCTACTCCTCGCATCATGCTGCCCGGCAACCACAAGCCCAAGACAGTCACCGTGGCGATGTTCATGTCGATCATTAACAGACTGGTCAACAGTGTACACACAGTGTCAGAGTCAAACAGCGAGGACAGTAAGACACACAGAGTAATACAATGTAAACAGTGGAAAGATTGCATGTTCAATTTGAATATGTTTCAGTTTTAGTCAGCTCACTTATAAGATCCATATTAGCTTTTAAACTGACATTCTATTCCTGGGCTGTTGTATTTATGCATATCAGACAAAACATAACTTTCAGGGTACGATGTCACTGACATCACTGATGACGTCACTGTGATGCTCCCCTCAAACGTACATCTTCAGTGCCTTTAATTAGGGAACATAATTGCACCATATTCTGTTGCAGTTATTTACTACCTGCACCTTTTTATATTTAGTTTCCACTTTAGTTATATTTGCAAAAGGTGCAAATAGATACCTTTTAGTTGAGAAAGTGAATAGTGTACCTTAAAACTCATTTAAGGTACACAATTGTTGTTGTAATTTTAAGGGTATTTTACATTGTTTGTATTTTGGGGGAAAAAAAGGACCTGGGCAGTAGGGGAAAGTGAGGGCACAAACAAAAATGGACAGTAGGGAGAGAGGACACAAACAACATTTAACACACATTGTTTATGTGGGCAGAGCCTGCTTTAGTTTATCTTCTCCTACTCCCATAGCAACATCATCTGCAAATGTTTACTGCAACCAGATAACAGATATTTCTTGAGACTGTGTGTATAAGTCACTGAATTCACACCTGTATTGTTCTGTATCTTACAACTAAGCCTGCTAAAATAAATAATAAATTCAAAATAGTGCAATTTTTTCATGCGCAGAATCATCAAATACATGCTATAGATGTAATGTAAATGAAATATATTTAAATTTGAATGTGCTAATATTGCCTTTTCTACTTTGTGGTCAAAAATATCAGTTGAGCCCCAGCCCATTTGCTTTCAGACTGTGTTCTTTTGAACAGCATGTACAACCCAATTTCCAAAAAAGTTGGGATGCTGTGCAAAATGTACATAAAAACAAAATGCGATGATGTGCAAATCATTTAAACCCTATATTTCAGTGAAAATAATACAAAGACAGGGACAGGGCAACAAAAGGCCGGTAAAGTTGTGTAATCCTAAAAAAACACTAACTGGCAACAGGTCAGTTACATGATTGGGTATAAAAAGAGCATCTCAGAGAGTCTTTCAGAAGTAAAGATGAGGAGGGGTTCACCACTCTGTGAAAGACTGCACAAGCAAATAGTGCAACAATTCAAGAATAACGTTTCTCAACATAAAATAGCAAAGAATTTCTGCTCTTTATCATCTACAGTACGTAATGTCATTAAAAGATTCAGAGAATCTGGAGAAATCTCTGTATGCAAGGGACAAGGCCAAAAACCAGTATTTGGTGGTATGGGGGGCATTAGTGCACATTGCATGGGTGATGTGCACATCTGTGAAGGCACCATTAATGCTGAACAATATATACATATTTTGGCAACAAATGCTGCCATCCAGACAACATCTTTTTTCAGGGAAGGCCTTGCTTACTTCAGCAAGACAGTGCCAAATCACTTTCTGCATGTATTACAATAGCATGGCTCTGTATTAAAAGAATCTGGGTGTTAAACTGACCTGCCTGCAGTCCAGACCTGTCACCATTGATAACATTTGGCACATTATGAAATGAAAAATATGACAAAGAAGATCCTGAACTGTTGAGCAGCTGAAATCTTATGTTAAGCAAGAATGGAACAAAATTTCACTTTCAAAACTACAGCAATTGCTTTCTTCAGTTCCCAAACGCTTACAGAGTGTTGTTAAAAGAGTTGATGAAACACAGTAGTAAACATGCCCCCATCCCAACTATTTTGGAACATGTTGTTGGCATCAAATCCAAATGGGCATATTATTATCAAAAAACAACAGAATTTCTCGGTTTCAACATTTGATTTGTTGTCTTTGTCCTATTTTCAATGAAATATAGGGTTTAAATCATTTGCACATCATTGCATTTTGTTTTTATTTACATTTTGCACAGCATCCCAATTTTTTTGGAAATGGGGTTGTATAATAACTGTGTTTTATATGGCCATTCCCCAAGATTCATTTCAGTGAGTCTCAGTACACCCTCACCTTTGGAATATAGTTAGAGAGTCAGCTCGGGTTTCACAAGCTCCATCGCTTCAGAGCACCCCCCTCTGGTGCCGTACTGAACACCTGGAAAGATTTCACTTCAGTCTTCTACAATCTGACATTGATGTCATTGATGTGCTGTTGTGCTATTGTAATGTGCATCACCACAGTGATGCACATGATAAAATCCCAATGATAAAACAATGATAATCTCTTTTAGAAAGCTTTACATTGCATAATGTGGTTATTTTTAACTAATCCAAACATAATGAAGGCTGTTAATAACTTACTAAACCAGGTTTATGTTATAAAAAACAGAGACGTATGCCAGGCTCTGTGAAGCTTGAGCAGTACAGCTCACATAGTGGTTAGTAGTTAGTATACTAACATGTTATACTTGAGATGAGGGTTCAAATCCCTGCTCAGGCAGCAATCCTTATATTTTGTGCTGCCTTAGTTAAAATACTGCATTAAGTTGCAGTATATAATACTGCATCCCTCTGAAACTTGATTAGACTGTCTCTTTTGATAAAAGTGGTTGCAATATGCTGTAAATTGTATGTTAAGTTTAATTCATTTTCAAGTTGTCCCTTTAGCCCAGTCCAGTTTTATTTGTTGTCCAAAATGACCTGTGAACCTACACGTCTTCTGAGTTTTATGTGTAGTGTTGATAATGGTAAAATGGTGACAATGCACTATTTTGCCTTACAACACCCTAACAGATCTTTATAAATATTATTTAGGTGCAAACATTATCTCAGAACTATTGTAAAACAATGTCTCAGGCATCAGGCAACATATTTGTAACCCCTTCATGTAATAACTTTGAGGTAGCATAGTTTAAATCCTCAGACGCCTGGTTCCTGTGACCACTGTGAACAATTCTGACTTGGTAAGATTCTTTGGAACATGTTCATCAAACCACTCTGAAGTACTTTGTTTACAATTAACTGAAATAATGATGCAAACATTAGTGGAATTCTGCTTCAAAGATTAAATTTATGAGAAATCTGATCTGAGAAATCTTTTAAAAAAACAGGTTTTATATTGTAAAATTTTTAATTAACGTGCTACAATACTACCACTAAACCTGAAATATAAAGTAGCTTACACAGACGTGTGCATCATACAGTCAAAATGAAATCCATCTTACATCACAACAGCAGATGTGTGTGTGGTCAATAGTGTTTGTTTTCTGCTAATGGCCTTTCGTGTGCTTCCATCTGAGTAGCCCAACACCTGCCACCTGGACAGCAAGTCCACTTACTGAGATTTACTGCACAGTGTAAATGTTGCACACTCCCTCTCTCGCTCTGACACACACACCACAGCTTTTATTAGTGTGTCATTTGAAGGAGAAAGAACAAGAGAGAGAATATAAAAAGATGGAGTCAGTCGAATCATGAAAAACTAGCGGTGTTAGTCTCAACATTTAATGGAAAAAAATAGCCCCAATGAATTTGAATTGACTCATTTGCTGTAAGTGCAAGCTAGGCATCTCTTCTAGGAGAGGAGAAAAATATGAGAAAATCAACAATCAAAGCTAATGGTTTAGCAAAATGCATTGCAAGAGTAATTAAGAATGAGACATTAAGAGAGAGAGACGTTAAAGGAAAATTCCACTGATTTTTCATGTTTTCTGCATAAATAAATGGTTGAGATGTAAACTGTCATTCAGAGTGATTTTATTTTTTTGCTCTGCAAAAAAAACTTATCCAGTTAAAATTGTTCACAGTGGTGATGATAGGAATGAGACGTCTAACACGTTTAATGCCTCTAAATAGTTTACCACTATTTTACCATTATCCAGATTGCTTATAAAAACTCAAAAGACACGTTTAAGTTCACTGGGTGGTTTTGGAGAGTAAATACAGTGGCTATATTTGCACTGTAGACATCCCAACCATTGGTTCCTATCAGCATCATTATGAAGAAATCCGAGTTAGTATGTTTCTCTGCAATGAAACATTTAACCTCAAACCAC